TTTTTATGAGTCCATGTAGAAATGAGTCACCTATTCAAAATCTATTTTTGAGATGGATTTTTTGTCCTGATTTGTAAGGATATGTAATCTCTAACATTGAGATCAAGAATATGAATAAATAAATAAATTTTAAAAATTAAAAATAATAATTCTATTAAAAAAATTTGGACCGTTACTTTCAATTATTTTAGATAGACCACTTAATTTCATCTATCTTTAAGATGGATGCTTGATACCTCAGGGATTGCAAATGTAAAAATGCAGTGCCCTCCGCATGAAACAATTTTCCTTTCCCACAAGGAGAAGGACCCCTTTCAAAAAGAAAAATTATCTGACACTGGAATATAATCCAAGTAAGTCTAGATTAGTATTTTTCTAGCTTGGAAAGCAGTGCTCATCTAACCATTCCAAAAAGCAAAAGTATGACGTGAGTCGGCTGACTCATATATTTTTGTGCAGTCTCCCTCTAAAATATATCTCAAAATTCTATTTTCGATCAAGAAATTAAGGGTTCCCTAATCTCAATAATGACAATGATCTAAATTTGGAAAAAAAAAATTAAAATGTAAATTTTATTTTTTCAATACTTTTTTTCACCTGTCCATTTTAACTTTTAGTGAATGTAACATTTTCTTGACGGCCATCTTAGAGATAGATGTTTGATAATAGGTGAGGTCTCCCCATGTAATTGTCAACTGCAATGTTTGCATTAATTTCTCCGAATTTGGTCCATTTACGAACTCTAATTATCAGCATCATGGAATGTGATTAGTATGCAAGTTGTTAATCACCCTCCAATATTATTGGTGGTAAAGTCAATATTTATTTCCACTTATCAATCAATCCAACTTTCACTTGTCCATTGCAAGAAAAGCCAATTAGCCCTCAAACAATTATTGAATTAAAAATATATCCTTCACATTTTCACCACTAAAATCTTTGAAATGCACAATCACCATGTCATTGTCACACACCGTTCGACTATGAATAGCCCCACTTGGCTGACTATGGGAAATTTACAAAAATAATAATAAAAAAAATTTAATTTTAATTATTTAAAATAAGGTTTAGAATCCAAAAATTATTTTCAAAATAATTCTTTAGTAATTAAGGATGTGTTTGACTCTTGGGAAATATGGTTTTGGAGACCATGTCTTCTATTAATGTAGCATTTTCCCTGTTTGATCATGCGAAGTGCAAAATTGAAAGTGGATGTCATAGTGTCAAAATTAATACATTCGATAGAATTTAAGTACGGTTTCAATAGGCGATAAGATAAGCGGAAGTATATTTAGATTAACTGGCCATGTGCAGCGTAGATCCAGAATAACACTTGTTAAGATGTGTAAGTTAGTTCAAGTAGAAGGCTAAAAAAAGGTAAGGAGTATGGCCAAAAGGATATGTTGGAAATAGTAAGAAAAGATATGGAGATTTATAGTCTCATTGATGGTACGGTCGTTGATAGAGCAAAATGGTGATTAGTATAACCGACCTCAAATAGTTGGAAAAAAGGGTCTGGTGATGATGATAATGATAAAAAGTGATATTGCATGTTCTATGGATGACTATAAAACTTGTAGTCACACATGAAACCTGCAGTATTCACTTTGATGGAAGACACGATTTCCAAAACTATACCTTTTAAAAAATGAACATGCCCTAACACTATGAAATAATTTTGAAAAAATATATCGATACCCTTTATTTTTAGGTTTCATTCCACAATAGACCCAAGGTTTTAAAAGATATCTTGAAGCATAAAAATTGTAGACTTTATTTCTTCTAACCTCTTGTACTACTTTAAACATGTTTTTTTAGGCCAAACAAATAAAAAAAATATGCACTTTCTAAAAGTCATCATCCTAAAGTTCTCTTTCTTTCTCTCTCCCCGCACCCCTTCTCTCTCTCTCTCCGTCTTTCTCATCTCCAACCCCTCACTCTCTCTCCTCCCGCTAAAGGCAATGATAAGTGGTATACGACACAATATTGTACATTTAATTGCGAGAGAGAAGCTCCATAGCATTATTCATGTTAGACTCATCATGACCAGGATCATGAAAGGGGGAATCTAACCGGTTTTCTTACCTACTAGCAGACAAGCCCGGCAAACGAAGGCTTATGTTGGCCACCTATATTCAAAATCTGGAATTCCCACATACGACAATACTATCAATCTCTGACAATCTTTACGTTTATTATCTCTCTCCCCTCACTCTCTCTCCTCCCAAATACACATAAGTATATGGGGAGAAAAAGAAGTGTTTGGATAAAGAGAGAGAGAGGTGTTGGGTGGTGAGAGGTTCTTGGGAGAAGAGAGATATATTTGGATAAACACGAAAAGAAATAGAGGTGTTTCGATAAACACGAAAGGAGAGAGAGTAAAACACTAAAAAAAATAGAAGTTTAGAGTATATAAATGAAGAGAGAAGGGATTGGGTTTAGAAAGTACATGTCTTTTTTCATTATTTAGGTTAAAAAATAGGTTTAAAGTGACTAGGGTGTTGGAAGATATTTTTTGAAATGTCCAATTTATTAAACAATAAAATTTAAAAATAGAGAATAAAAAGATATTTTTTCTAAAAATTTAAAAAACAAATGACCGAGAGTCCCACTCCACATCGACTGCGTTGAGTCCCATTACCCATAGACTGCGTTTTGAACCACAAAACGGGCAGATCCACCTGATTTTTCTATTCGGTGTGTGCAAGGAGGGTACAAAAATCATGAAGGATAAATGGCTGGTCGGTCATTCCCATATAAAAGTAGGGCACGACTTTTGCTTCATAACTCCACATTAAGATCCATCTTTCTGAAAAGTGTAATGGTTTCCTTCCAAATCGGGTGCATTCAATAGGTGCGGTTATATAGACCCTAGGCTCTAAACAATCAAATTAGAGCCTACCTTCAAATAGTGTCGAGAAATATAATTTCAATACTGAAAATATTTGTGATAGCCTTAAAATATGTTTTCATCTTTATTTATAAAGTTCAAAGCTTCAAAAACAGTGTAGATCAATAGTTCTACGAACATTTGAAAATTGACGGTCCAAAAATGCATTTCAAAATACACTATTTCCAAAACTTGAAATCCATTTTTTTCTCATGTCCATGCATCTTGATATTGAGATGATCAATTTGAAGATATTTGGGCATCAAAACAACCTCTTTTAATGAAAGTTTTGAGGTAGGCTCAAATTTGATTGTTTCGAGCCCTAGCTCTACGTAAACTTTTCTCTTATTGTTATGGGAAGAGTTTATATAGAGCCGGGGCCTCTAAACAATCAAATTTGAGCCTACATCAAAAATTTCATTAAAAGATGTTGTTTTGATGCCCAAATATTTGCAAATTGATCATCTTGACATCAAGATGCATGAACATGAGAAAAAATGGATTTCAAGTTTGGAAATAATTTATTTTGTAACACATTTTTGGACCGTCAATTTTCAAAAAATTTTAGTTCTCATAGATCTGTCGATCTACACTTATAAATAAATATGAAAATATATTTTAAGGCTATCTCAAAAATTTCTAATATTAAAACTACATTTCTCGATACTATTTAAAGGTAGGCTCTAATTTGATCGTTTAGAGACTAGGCTCTATACAAACCGCACCCTATTATTATTGCCAAAAGATATTATACACTCTTGGAGTAGAATGTTCATTTAGACCTTCAAGTAAAACACCACTTATAATTAATTTTAGGACCCTAAATTTAGGTGATATAACCTCTTGAACACATAGATTAACTTAAATAAAAAAAATTCTTACTTGTACCCTCTATACACTTGAAAAAATAAAAAAAGTGGAGAATAAGTAGAAACCATTCAATTTTTAGATGGTGAGATCCTAGAGCTCAACTTTCATAATTTATTTTTGGGTGTGGTTTCTATAAGGTTGCAACCTTAAACAATCTAATTGAGGCGCACTTCCAAATTTTATTAGAACATGTAATTTTGGTATAAAATATTATTAGGATTATTTGAAAATCTATTTTCAAATCTAATTATAAATTTTAAAATCCAAAAATGGTAAAAATCAAGAAAATCTATAAACATATGAAAATCTTGAAAATGGACGGTCCAGATAATGTATTGCAGGATGCACTATTTTTAAGACTTAGAATATAATTTTTTTTCATATTCATACATCATGATGTTGAGATGATCAATTAGAGGGTTTTTCAGATGGATTTTTTTGAGTGGCATCTATAATTCAAGGTGCAACCTTATATAAACTTTTCTCTGCATTTTTTAACAATAAGCTTCCAGTTTAATTTTTAGGTGGCCATCATCATCATAATCCTTTCCCGGGGTCGGCTACTCACACAAATCCTGTCCGTCTATTACTGATCTATTAAATGTCATACCCGGCTGTAGGTAATTCTCGAGTGGAACTCAAAATTTCAGATCGGAAAAAATCCTCCCCAACTCCGAGGTCTTCTCACCGAGGGAGTGGAAACAAACTATGCTCCCGAGGGAGCATTTTTGGGATGCTAAAGAATCCAAAACTTCCAATCCCACCATTGAAACGTGGACCGACTTTGTGTCCTCAGTCAAAACGCACTACTGTAATCCCTCGAATCTGGAATGCGAAACGCGAGATCCCAGGGATTTGAATTTCTTCCGATTTATTGCTTTGGCATTTAATTTCTTTCTATGAAGAAATTTCTTATCAATTGATTGATACTTAATATGTTCTTCTCTGAATAAATTTCTAACTGTTGACCAGCAAATGATGAGGAACCAGAGATAAAAAAAGTTTGAGCTTCAAACTCCCAAAAAAATCTCAAATACTCCGTAAGAAACGCATTGAATATGAGCTTTGGCGACTCTAATGGTGTATTCTAATTGCCCAGGACACATGCTCTTTAGGCTGCCTGTTCAGTCATAATTTGCAGAACAAGTGGGGCATCACCTCTCTCTCTCTCTCTCTCTCTCTCTCTATA